AATAATTCAAGAAAATGACCAAAATACCCCTGAAACTTTTCAGGGGTATTTTGGTCAATTTATTTCATGTAAATTATTTTTTTGATATTTTTATTAGATTATCCTATTTTTGAAGAACACACGCCTAAAATTTCAAGTTATTTGGATTTGTAGAAAAAAAAATTAAAATTAAAATACAAAATAAGGTCGTGACCGTCAGATCGGCCCAGATTCAATCTGAGCCGTTGGGCTTATTTTTACCTGTAAGCCCACCGGCTTGCAAGATCATTTTCCATATATATATAAACACATATGTGCTGTGCACACATGTCATACTAGACTTGACAAATATGGGTGAGTCAGATTCTTTGAATCCTTGTTAAGACAGATTCTTGTGTCCACATCCTTGTAACATTGGTGAAAGCAGATTGTATACATGAATTGGAGTACCATTAACAATAGTTATAGTGTGGCATAGATTACCTTGTTGGTGTTTTACATGGTTCTTCCTTAAATTTGTTTAAATCTTGCATGGGGCATTATGTTTAGTTGTAATGAGGAGCCTAGTGTTGCACTTAGGCATCTGCTCTCGTTCCCTATGGTTCAAAGAGAAAGGGAGATGCACCCATGTGGCAGCCACATTTTTAATTTTGGTTGGATGAGTGAGCTTTTCTTTTATTCCTTGCACTTCTCTACATTTTTGTTGTCCCTCTATCTATGGAACCTAATTTCACACTTAGGCAACTCTTGTCATTCTCATGATGAAGGTCCAAGGTGCAAAAGGTCAAGTAAGATGTAGATGTAGTAGTTATATCTTCCTTGGATGAGAGGCCTCCTCTTTTATGCCTTGCCCTGTGCTTCTATATAAGTCTGCCTTGGCCGGTCCCATGATGGTCATATCAGTCCCAAGCCTGGGTATAGGAGGAAGGTTGTGTTAGGTGGGCAACTGTAAAACTTTGCCACATCTTTTCATGAATCCTTGTGCTTCTATATGATATTATTTCTTTAGGTGAGGAAGCTTTCTTGTATGACTTCTTTTTCACCTTAGAGTCTCCTTATAGGAGGTCCCTAATAGATGATGATCTCCTCACAAAGCCCATTATTCTCCTTATAGGTGGTCCCTAATTGATGATGATCTCCTCACAAAGCCCATTCGTCAAGGGAGGACACTTTTGTAGAGTGCCATTCCCATACTACATAGACTACATAGGTTATTTTACTTAAAAATGCCCTATGTTTTTAATTGAATATTTTTTTACTTGAATGATAAGATAAGATGTGACCAAGTTTTATTAACACAACTCACCTCCTTTATCCAAGCTTGGGATGGGTAAAGGGAAAGTTTAAGGTCCTCACTCTTATTAGACCAAATAATTGGGATAAGGCTTGGATGATGATGATTTTTTCACTTGAATGACTATTGAAACCTTTTTTTAATTAAAGAATATTTGTCTAAGTTTTTTCAAAAAAGATAAAAATTGAGATGTCTAACAAAATTTAAAACAACTAGAATGCTTTTATTGAATATGAAAAGAGATGGTTCTTAAAAAGTATTTGATTTTATTTTATCAATAGCCTATGAACATTAAGTAAACTCAAATTAACTATTATTGATTGAAAAGTAGTTATCTAAAATATTAAATATCTAAAGAAATTTTAAAGGATTAAACAAACATTTACTTATTTATTAATATTAAAGGCAATTTTAGTAAATGCCTCTTTATAATGCATATGAAATAAGTTGGCACTTTAGTGAAGTGCCTCTCCATGGTGAATGAGCCTCCATAAGGAGAACACCATTAACGAGGAGCCTCTAAATGGAGGCCTGAAGGTGAAAGAAAGGTAAGTCGAAGGTAGTTCTGATATGTACACCTCTTACAGAGTGGTTTTTTTATTTTCTCTTTATGTTATTCATATATATTTCTTTATTTGTAGTGCTTACATTTCTGAACTGCAAGCTAAGTTTGTTTGACCATGTATCAAGATTGTAATCTTACCTTTTCATATGAGCTTTGGTTTTGTAAGCATTGTAAACTACCATTCTTGCAGATTCTTAATGAGAAAACGGGAATATTTAGCAAAAGAATGAAGAATCTTCACCGAGATCCGATTCTACGTGCTCAAAGAATAGCTGCAATTAAGGTTTGATGAGAAAGTTTGGTTTGTCTTGAGGTGCAATAAGTTAGTTCAAAACCAATGGCAAAAGTGGACTAGCTATCCAATAGAAAAGGATACTTTGTACTCAAACCTGTCCAACCAGCCAATAGAACGAAGTGGTTAAAAAGAAAAGGAAAATAATCTAAAAGAGATCCACTTAAAAAATTCTTGTATATGTATGTGGCCATTTTTAAGACTACTGTAACTTGTTTTCTTTTAAATAAGTTAATTTCTACCAATTTTATTAGAGAAGATCAATCATCGAATCATGGAAGTAGATCAACATTTAAAGGAATAAATTCTAAAAAAATCCATATAAATAAAATAATTAAAAAAATCCTTTACATGTATAGGTGTTATTTACACTTTTACTGTTTCTATGAAAATGTTACGGTGTATTTATGTTTGAAACCCTGAGTTTTCTTCAAGAAGTATAAAGAATCCTCAGTGAAGAAATGCCCTACACTGAGAAAACCTTTAGCAAAGAATGCCCTAGACCAAGAAAACCAAGAAACTGATTTTTGCTTTAGGAAATGATAGTGCATGTAAATGTCTTGACTTATGGTTGGCATACTATATCAGTAGCTGTGTTTTCCATCATCACAAATCTACACTTCTTCGTCAGAGGGCAAAGGGGACTGCTGCGGCAAGGAAGCGGGCATCTGAAACTTTGAAAGTGTTCTTTAGCAATCCGGAGAACCGCCTCAAGAGGAGCATTGCCATGAAAAGTAAGTAAATCACTTCTCCTAAATTGATATGATCCATCCAATTCATTTCATTGTTAATGCTAAGTTAACTTTGATCTCTCATGTGTTCCAGATCTAGTGCCCCCCTCCTCCCCCCTCCCAAAAAAAAAAAAACAAAAACAAAACAAAACAAAAAACACCCTCCTGCCACAATCCCTCCTATCTCACAAACAGTGTCCATATGGTCTCTTTGTGCTACACTCGATCAACAATCCTGATAATAGTAGAGCTCCATATCACCTTTGAGAGATTTTCCCACCAGTATTTCTTCATACATGACATTCATGTGCGCAGAGATAGAGGGAGGGAGGGTGCATTAGACTAAAACAATGCTCTTTTTTTTTTTTGAGAATGTTTGACTAAAACGATGCCAATAATGCAAGCAAATGGCACAATTGCACACATGCACAGACGTTGATGCCTAGGACTAAAACAGTTTTGACATTGATGCAGATGCAAAATTTTACTGTAAAATCTGCGGAAAGGAAGGGCATAGAAGGCATTATTGTCCCTCTTTGAAGGGCCGGTCGGAGGATTTCAGGTACAGGTGTAGCCTATGTGGGGATCGGGGACACAACAGGAAAACATGTGGGAAACTGAGGGCAGCGCTTCACCCCCAGGAAGCAGGTAACGAGGAGTATAATTGTAGCATTTGTGGTGAGTCCGGGCATAATAGTAGAACATGTCCTAGGGGGAGAGAGACTGAAGTGGGCGATCGGGAGTACAATTGTAGTAAATGTGGTGAGAGTGGGCATAACAGTAGGACTTGTCCCAGGGGACAAGATGTAGGAGGTGATGGGGAGTACAATTGTAGCATTTGTGGTGAGACTGGGCATAATAGCAGGACATGTCCTAGAGGGCGAGATGATGAAGGGGGTGAGAGCAGGCATAACGGCACGGCAAGTTATAGAGGAGGAGATGAAGAAGGGGGTGATGGGGAGTACAATTGTAGCATTTGTGGTCAGAGTGGACATAATAGTAGGACATGTCCTAGAGTACGAGATGTTGGGGAGGGTGATGGGGAGTACAGTTGTAGTATATGTGGTGAAAGCAGGCATAATAGTAGAACATGTCCTAAAAGGCAAGAGGATGAAGGGGGTGACGGGGGGTACAATTGTAGCATTTGTGGTGAGAGTGGGCACAATAGTAGAACATGTCCTAAAGGGAGAGAGGAGGAAGGGGAAGGAGGTGATGGGGAGTACAATTGTAGTATCTGTGGCCAGAGTGGGCATAATAGTAGAACATGTCCTAGAGGACAAGCAAATGAAGGGGGTGATGGGGAGTACAATTGTAGCATTTGTGGTGAGACAGGGCATAATAGTCGAACATGTCCTAGAGGGGAAGATAATGAAAGGGGTGTGAGCAGTCATAATTCTATGAGTTCTAGAAGTGGAGATGATGAAGAGGGTGATGGGGAGTACAATTGTAGCATTTGTGGTGAGACTGGACATAATCGCCGGACATGTCCTAAAGGGCGAGGCATTGAAGGGGGTGACGGGGAGTACAATTGTAGTATATGTGGTGAAAGTGGTCATAATAGTAGGACATGTCCCAGAGTACGAGAAAATGAAGGGGTTGACGGGGAGTACAATTGCAGCATCTGTGGTGAGACAGGGCATAATAGTCGAACATGTCCTAAGGGGAGAGAGGGGGAAGTGGGTGATGGTGAGTACAACTGTAGCATTTGTGGTGAGACCGGGCATAATAGTAGAACATGTCCTAGAGGGAGAGGGAAGGAAGGAGGCGATGGGGAGTATAATTGTAGTATTTGTGGGGAGAGTGGGCATAATAGTAGGACATGTCCTAGAGGACAAGGAGTTCAGACAGGTGATGGGGAGTACAACTGTAGCATTTGTGGTGAGACCGGGCATAATAGTAGAACGTGTCCAAAAGAGAGACAGGGTGAAGGGGGTGATGGGGAGTACAACTGTAGCATTTGTGGCGAGACTGGGCATAACCGCAGGACATGTCCTAAAGAGAAAGACATTGAAGGGGGTGATGGGGAGTACAATTGTAGCATTTGTGGTGAAAGTGGGCATAACAGTAGAACATGTCCTAAAGGGGGAGAGGAAGGAGGAGGTGATGGGGAGTATACCTGTAGTATCTGTGGTGAGGTCGGACATAATCGGAGGACATGTCCTAGAGGGCCAGGTGCTAAAGGGGGTGATGGGGAGTACAATTGTAGTATTTGTGGTGAGACTGGGCATAACAGGAGAACATGCCCTAAAGGGGAAGAGATTAAAAGGGGTGATGGCGAATATAATTGTAGTATATGTGGTGAGACTGGGCATAATAGAAGGACATGTCCTAGAGTTAGAGAAGTTGAAAGTGTTGATGGGGAGTACAATTGTAGTATATGTGGTGAGAGTGGGCATAATAGTAGGACATGTCCTAGAGGAAAAAACGTCGAAAGTGGCCGATCAAGTGATTCTGTTCAACAGGAGGAAACAGGTCATAGGGATTACAATTGTAGCATATGTGGTGAGAGTGGACACAATAGTAGGACATGTCGTACAGAGAGAGGGGCTAAAAGGGATTGCGGGGAGGCTGAGCCCAGTGGATCAGTTCACTCTATGAAAAGAGGTCATAGGCGATCATTGTAGGACATGTTGACAGTGGGCCCAATTTTAGGACATGCCCTGGAGAGAGAAAAGTGGAACTGGTAATCAGGGGGAACCTAGGATTAAACTTGGTACATGTAGTAGAGAGAGAAAGTGAACTGGTGATTAGGGGGGAACTCATGATTGGAATTGGAGCTGGTGATTTAGAAGAACTCTAGATTGAAATGCTTGGCTGATTCTTCCAAGATGTGTTTGCTTGAAGCTCATGATTCCCCAACAAGACCAAGTTCAAAAACTGGTTGAGGTTGTATGATCGCCCTTTGATATTATTATCACTAATTAATTCAGTTATTTATCATAGTTATTTATTTGGTTGAGAGTAAACAAATAAAGTCACATCATTTTTCTTCTGAACATTCGCAAGAAAAATCGGATGGGTAATGGGGTGACTTCTAGAAAACTCGTAGTTCCTGTGTACTCATGTAGCAAACTTATTAGCAGTATTATTGTCAGTGTTGTTTAGATTCACTTCATGTAGCAACTTATTAGCAGTATTATTGTCAGTGTTGTTTAGATTCACTTCATGTAGCAAACTTATTAGCAGTATGATTCACTTCATGTAGCAAACTTATTAGCAGTATTATTGTCAGTGTTGTTTAGATTCACTTTGAAGTCTTCTTTGGTTTGGTCGGAAAAACAAAGCAATTCGGTGTTTCGGCTGATTCGGAGGAAGACTTTGGAATTTTTAAAGGAAAAAGTTTATATATGGTTGCAACCTTAAAATGTAGAATTAAAGATGCACCTCAAAAATCCATTGGAAAATATTGTTTTAATATAAAAAGACCCTCTAATTAATCATCTCAACATTGAGACGTATGAATATGAAAAAGAAAAAAAAAAAGGGTTTTGAGTCCCAAAAACAGTGCATCTTGCAATCCATTATCTAGACCGTCCATTTTCAAGATTTTCATATATTTATAGATCTATTTGATTTTAGCCGTTTTGGGAGTTTAAAATTTTGTAATTGGATATGAAAATAAGTTTTCAAATAATCTTAAAAAAAATTTACACCAAAATTACAAAAAAATTGGAGGTGTGCTTTAATTGGATTGGTTGCAACTTATAGAAACTACACCCTTCAAAGTATATATTTGATATAAAAATATATTAAAATAATAAAAATTTTGAAAATAAAAAGCATTAAGTAAAAAAGAGAATTCTATACGGCTGAAGAGGTTGAATCATACCGAAGCAGGCCAAAGCATGGAATTGTCTTTTAAACTTCTTGAAAGACAATTTTGTGCTTCAGTCAAAAAGGCCAAAGCTTTGGCACAAGAGGCCGAATCTAACAGAAGCGGATGCTTAGAAGTTCAATTCACTTGGGTCTAGGGCGAAGACCCGAAGACTTCTGCCAAAAAGATATGGGAGACACCATAGATTTGGTAACTTCCATGTACCACATTTCACTGCTTAATGGATTCAAACTTGGGCAAGGGGTACAAATTTCACTGCTTAATGGATTCAAACTTGGGCAAGGGGATTTAGCAAGGTCCATCAGCAAAACTGATAAAAACTGAGCCATGGACAATTGCTTCCTAAAATTTTAAGCACCTGTTCATGGTTTTGCATAAGAAGGGATTCAAGGGGCTTGGGTTCAAGCCTTTGATAAAAAAATTGGCCAACTCATCTTTGGACTCATCCGAGTCCCTTGGATCAGTGGCTTGGAGAATCTTGAGGTGAAATCTTGAGACTCGCCTAGAGTTGCTAGAGTTGGCAAGTTTTTAAGGATGACATTTCTGCTTTTACGAAAACAAAATAAAGCTTCACCTCAAATCCTCATTTAGAAAGCACTTTCGGCAACGGAAATTTTCATGATGGCTCTAAAATCAATTTCTAACACTGACAATGAAATTTGAAACTCAAAAAATTGTACAAATCGTGCGGGTCTATGGACACTTAATTTTAGGGCGAAATGGTTACGATATACATTATTTTTAGAGCTTGAATTCCTAATTTTTATAATGATTGAATTACAATTTTCAATGAGTTATAAGGTGAGTCTTTACTTATTATATTTATAAAGCTGCAACCCTATCAAACCATTTTTTTCTTTTTAAATCGGATGAGCAATTTCTTTGTATATATATATATATACCCAGCTTGACTCAAGACTCGCCTGAATTGAACCGGGTGACTCGGACTCTGGATCCAACTAACCTGCAAGAGAAAGGTCATCAGGGGGCTATGTGAATTCAATTGTTGGATATGGAGATAGAGGTTTCCAAGTTGTTGGTGTCTACAGTGTGAAACTACAGTTTGAAAAAGAAGTCATAGTTTGAGAACTGAGAAATAAATATTTGAGGTATTATTTCTAGGGGTTTGCCATTGATTGAGTTTGGCAAATTTTACATTAACAAAGTAAACGAGTCAATTCAATCAAACGGGGTGGTATAAGCCTCTTTGCTGTGGACGCAACCAGCCTTACCCAAGCGCTAAAAATGAATTTGTTTTTTATTTTTATTTTGTTTAAAAATTGGGAAATTATTGTACTAAATTAATTTTTATCTATCTAAAAAAAAAACTCGAACTTCCATAAACTTTGTTTACACTATTTTTCTTCAATTTTCATCATTTGTAATCAAAATAACTTTCATAATTGTCGTATATTATCGCAAAAAATAATTATATACATAAAGTACTATAATGATTAGCAAAAAATAATTACGGTACTTAAAGTATTGGTTAGCAAAAAACAATTACAATATTTAAAATACCGTAATAGTTAACACACTTTATACTCTATTTAAAATATCGTAAAAATTATCTTTTAATATAACGGTACTCGAATTATCTTAATACTAATTAAACTTCATAAATGTCTTTCACATATTGATTTGCACATGCACTAAAAGTACGGTAAAAAACCTAAATACCATCTCTCCCTCATAAAATACGATACCATCTCCCGAGGATGACTCCTCAAAGGGAAATTCGATCCCAATCTCTCTCCTGCAAAGAAAAAATGGTGTTTCTCAGGCAAAAGAATGGGGATGGAAAATGCCTATGCATGTATGAGAGTCTCCGTGCTTCTCAGGAGGGGTTCTTCAATGACCAGAGCAAAAAATTTCAAAGACAAAAATTGCTCGAACGAGGAAGGAAGTAATAAACCAGAGGAAATAGGGGGTTCTATTGACCATCAAAGACTTTGAAACCCATCAAAGTTTGAGGAAAATCGAACCCATAGAGGGAGGAAATAAAAATGGTGTTGTTAAAATTGAATCTATCGAAAAATCAGAAGGCCATGAGAAATTTTTGCTTCAGAGAGTAAGAGCCCCTGAGAAATTCAGCGCCAGAGAAGAAGAATGGAGACCCTAAACCGGCAAAACAAGGAAGAAAGGGGTTTTTGAAGAATATCACGGCCTTTCAGTACCATGGTATTCCTTTGAGTGGTCCGGAATCTATGAAAGTCATCACTGTACTGATGTACCGTAACGATGCATTTTGTCTTTATTACCGGCCATAAAAGTTTTTTTTTTGGTAAAAATAAATAAATAAATATAATAATATATATATATATTAAAAATAAAAAAAATTATAAAAACTTCTCGAAATATATTATTCACTCAACTTACCACCTTCGTACTTTCTCTCTCATCTTTTTCTTCCAACAAATTATCTTCGCAAATACCTCCCAAACCCAAAAAAAAAAAAAGTTAAAAAGGGTAAAAAAATACCCTTTTGTCTTCATACCCTTTCTCTATGCACCCGAAGCTTTTCCCACGTACTCCAGCACCATAGAAACACACTTTGGCAGACAAGCTTTTGGAGCCAGAGTGCTCCGACAGTCAGATCAGCCCCTCCGATAGTAAGCCACTTTGATTCGGGGGTTTAGTACGTCACTCCGGCGATTTTTACATGCGCTCTAGCAATATCTACATGCGCTCTGACAATACTCTTTTGGAGCACATTGCTTAGGCGGTGTGACAGTATGCTCCGGCAGTCATTTCAAAGCGGTCTGGCGTTGTTGTTTTTCACTCCGGTAATAGGCAACTTGGGACTGCCAATTGAATTTTTATTGTACGATAAGGTCATTTTTGTCCAAAAAATTACATCTTTTTACTTTGGGGATTTTGTAAAGAAAACTTGTTGAGGGGAAAAAAGTGTGAGGAGAAATTTAGGTGGAGGTACGTTGAGTGAATAGTGTATTTTTTTAAGGGTTTTGTAATTTTTTCAAAAAAAAAATGGTGTAGCCAAGATTTAGAAAAGTAGGGTTTTTTTTTTTTTTCTAATAAGACAAAAATTAGGGTATATATTTTTTTATATTTTTTTAAAAAATTAAATTAATCTTAAATTTCAGCTTTAGGTTTATTTTTTATATGTAATTACATAAAACAAATAAAAATATTATTTAAATAAAAAATAAAATGAGATAAATATTTAGCTATTAGATATGACTTCATGAAATATCTCAACCACTATATATAGTGATGACAACGGATGAGATATTAGATATGGTCTCATGAAATATCTCCACCACTGGATATATCTAGTGGTAACCACGGATGGGATAATAGATAGGGTATAGTTGGCATATGATGCATCCGTAGCTCTAGCTCTAGAGGTAAAAGTGCACCTTCAAATTTTATCATGCTATATAATTTTGATATAAAATATTCTTAGGATTATCTCAAAATTCATTTTTATAACTAATTATAAAATTTTAAATTTAAAAATAGTTAAAATCAAGTAGATCTATAAACATATGAAGATCTTGAAAATGGACGATCTAGATGATATGTTGTAAAATGCACTATTTTTTAGACTCAAAATCTTTTTATTTTTCTTGGTCATACATCTCGATGTATGATGATAAATCAAAGGGTTTTTCAACCTTAAAACTACCTTTTCCGATGGATTTTTTAGAAACATTTGTAGTTCTAAGTTATAAAGTTGTATTATTATATAAACTTTTTCCTATTAGATATGGCCTCATGAAATATCTCAAACCACTAGATAGAGTGATGACGATAGATTGGATATGGGCGGGGGATCGGACGTGGGCCGGGATACAGGGATGGCAACGGATTGGATATGGGTCGAACCTGTTGGACACGTTTCTGTAACTGAAACATCACTTGAGAGAGAGAGAGCTTCTCTAGTTTTCGCAAGAGAGCAAGAGAGAGAGAGATGGAGTTTTGAGAGAGAGACCTTATGTGAGAGAGTGAGGGTGGTTAGAAAGATTGACATTAACGGAGAAGAAAAGTTTAGATAGGGTGTCATTTTAGTATTTTTTGGATGAAAAATTTATGCTCAAAAGGGTTTAGGGGTTGTAAGATAGAAAAGTTGGAGACCTTTTATTTACAAGCATAGTTAGCAAGTGGGGACTTTCAATAAATCGGCTCCCCATAAAATCGAAAACAAATCGTTTTTATTTAAAAAAGTCAGATGAAAAAATCGAGTAAATAATATAGCTCGGAAAAAATACTTCATATAAAAATATCACTAATATATCGGATTAGGCTAAAAACTCGGAGTAAAAAAATCGAATAAATTTGTAATATTAGAAATTTTAAAATTTTAAAAAATAAAAGGTATATCAAAGCCATCAATAACTAATTCATCCATCAAAAATTTATTAGACTAATATAATTAAGTTAATTAATTTAGATGCATCACGACTCTCATTCAATATTAAATATATAATTAACTAGTATATACCAAACAAAATGTACGATATAAATCTACCCATTAAATCTTTAAGAAATAACACACTTACTTATTACATACCAAAAACAAATGTACTATATAAATTTATTTATTAAATACTTTAACTATCGTATGGTGACAAATATACTATATAAATTTATTCCTTAATTACTTAAACATCACACCTGCTTAGTAGAACCAAAATAACTACACGATTTTTATTTTCTCTTACAATGATTTAACTATAGTATGGTGACTATGGTGAGACCATAACAATGATTAAGTTTTATAAGAGCCTCATAGAAATTTGGGTTTCACATCTCTATATTTACAGTTTAGAGCTAGACGAAGGAAGCCTGTGCTCATAGCCATTAGGGTTTATAAAGAGAGAAGAAGGAAGAAGTAAGATGTAATCAGCTTAACAAACCTTAATGGAAGAGGTTCTAACTGATTTTATTGATTTTTAGAGAGAGAGAAGGAATATTGATTGGGATATCTTGAAGAGGGTTTTTTTCTTATTTTATTGGTTTTTAGAGAGAAAAAAGAAAGATGAGATACTGATTTGGGAATTTTTGAAGAGGTTTTTTTTTTTAATTTGGAATGTTGTTTGAGAGAAAGTTTGAAGTATACCGTAAAGAGGCCTTAATTGATTGTTAGAGAGACAAAAGGAATAGGGTTTTTTATTTTCTTAAGAAAACAACATATTGCGTTTGGGGAACTAATCCTGTCCATACAATTGCTTGCTCTGGTAGGTTTATCTATATTGTTTTTCTTTATTATCATATAATCAAAAACAAAATATTGATTATTTGGTTCAATAATAGTTTTATAAAAACGATTTTCATAAATAAACACATAAATATGCATGTTTATATTTTTTTTTACATAGTTATTTCCTTTACAAATGATTTATTATAAACAATATTTTATTTACACAACGATTTTTCATAATAACAACTGAAATCTACATTTATTCGTGTAAGTTTAAAAAAAAGGGGAAAAAGTTCATATTTTCCATCTACAACTGTAGCTTTAAGGAACACAATGGAGATAAAAATTTATATTTTTGGTTTTTTAACTGAAATAAAATTTTTTTTTTTCGAAAGCATGGGAGTAGCAATAATCGCAATACACAAAACAAGAAAAAAAATGTTTCTTTCAAATAAATTATGGGTAAAAAAAATACGATATTTTGGCCTGATTTAAATCCTATTATAAAAAAAGCGCATTTAAAACTTTATTTTTAAGGAAAACAACAAAGCAGCCGCCGCCGCCGCCGTCGCTCATTTATTGAATTCTCCATTGCTATAAACGCAGCAGCACAGTCTGGCCATGCCACGCCATGCAGCAGCACAGTCTGGCCATGCCGTGTTACCATCCAGTATTGAATTCTCCGTCGCTATAAATGCAGCAGCAGCCGTACAGTCTGCCGATCCCACCTACCGGAGATAGAGATTAGCAGAGTCTTTGGAGATGGACAGCGGCCCATGGCTTTCTGATGAACCCGGGACCAAATATGCACAGGTGCGTCCTCTGTTTATTTCTCTGATTTCTATCCCTTTGTTCCGCCACCGATTCTGAGACTCTCATACGCTGTCTGTTTGTCTCAGATCAATGCCTTCAGTGATCGTCCATTTGGGGGAAATCCGGCCGCTGTGTGTTATCTGACCGAGAAAAAGTCAGACAAGTGGATGCAGCTTGTCGCCAGGGAATTCAATCTCTCTGAGACCGCTTTCCTCCTGAAGATCCCTGATGTCGCTGCAAATAATGAATTCAGTCTTCGATGGTTCACCCCAAAAGTTGAGGTAAATTGTAACCCTTCACCAATTATATATTGAGGATACTGAGAATGAGTAACAGGTTAATAACTCTGTTTGAATTTGCCTAGGGACGACGCAAACCTCCTTATAAGCTAAATCGATAGAGAGAGCTGGGCATTATTGAAGGCTTCTCTTTTAATTCTCTTCTTTGGCTCTGAATTATGCAGTTACATCTATATTTATTGCCTCTTCGTTTTCTTCATCATCCTTTTGTTTTTTGATGGGTTATGTTGTAGCACTTTGATACCACTCTAAACCCGATGGGTTAATATTTTGATAAATAAGGTATGAGACGAAAAGCATGAAACACCTACAACAAGAACACAAATGGCACCACGGTTGATCTTTTATTTTTATTCCATAACTAAGCCAAGGAAGAGAACAACGGTTGATCTTTTATTTTTATTCCATAACTAAGCCAAGGAAGAGAACAACTTTGAAAGCAAACAAGATTTTATCACACTCAAAGGGGAAACAATCCAAAATCTCTATGAGAACCGTTTCTCAAGAAACAAGCCTTTCAATTTTTGAAAGTCCAAAAGAGTCCCCATCACAATTTTCTTGTTCAAAGGAGAAAATCGCATCTAGAAAGAAATTGTATCTAGAAGGAAATCGCATTTTATGCACAAGAGGCTCTACCTCCCTCTCTCTCTAGATGAACTACCATTCCTATGGTAACTCAAATTGGGCACACAAATTTTCTACATTTTTATCCCATATATATAATTAAGAATCCACAATTGGAAACTTCCTATTGATATAACATATATCTTAAAAGACAAAGAGATAAATCCAAGAGTCATAATCTTTTTGGATTTTTATTTCTTTTTGGAATCTTATCAATATCAATATCAATCCCACAAATACGGGAATATCTCAATCCCACAAAATATGGATTAATCTCAATCTTTTTTTATTTCTATTTCCATATGTGGGTGATTTTGGATAGCACCTGCAATGAGTCCAGATATTTCTCATGCCGTTAGTGTTGTTAGCAAGTATATTGCTAATCCAGGAAAGGAGCATTAATATATGGGAAAATGGATTATGCGTAACCTAAAGGGTACATCAGATGTGGGTCTGATGTTTGATAGAGATAGCAAGTTTGGCGACAAGGTTGTTGGTTATGTTGATGCTGACTTTGGAGGTGATTTAGACTGTAGGAAATCTATTACAGGTTATTTGTTTACATTTGGAGGAGCTCCGATTAGTTGGAGGTCGATGCTACAAACCGTTGTTGCCTTGTCTACGATTGAAGCACAATACATGGCTGTTACTGAGGCAGTAAAAGAAGTCATTTGGTTTAGAGGGCTTGTAAGCGATTTGGGCTTACGACAGGATGGGACTGTCACTTATTGTGACAGTCAGAGTGCAATGCATTTGGCGAAGAACTTTGTGTATCACGCAAGGACGAAGCACATTGATGTCAGATACCATTTTATTCGTGAGATCATAGCTGAAGGTGATTTCTTGTTACTAAAGATTGACATTAAGAAGAATGTTGCAGATATGTTGACAGTTCCATTACAAAAGTTCAAGCTATGCTTGGACTTGACTAATGTGCTGCCCAAGTAAGCGCCTGTGGAGGCGCGTGTGGAGAAGACAGTCGATGAGAATTTCTTTTGGAATTCAAGCTAAGGTGGAGATTTGTTAATATTTAGTTGCCTTGTAATTTTCTTTTTTTGATTTAGTTTAAAACATCGATCGCCTTCGCCTGTGGATGTAGTCACAATTGTGACGAACCACGTAATTTTTGGTGTTCTTTTTATGTTATTTATTTCCTGCTTTATTTTTGTTGATTGTTTTTTTTTTGTCGATTCTTTTTCTCGTACTTTATTTGCCAAAAAATCAACCCTTCGGGTTTTGAGCTTCCACGCACAACAAGTGGTATCAGAGCCGTGGTTTGGGTTTTCAGTAAGGCAATAAAGGTTTCAAAGGCAAGGTTCAAGGTGGAAAAATATGATGACAAGCATGAATTTTTCAGCAAGAATGATGAAGAAATTTGTTTGGCAAAAGATGAAAAATCCGTGAAGCTATCCACTTGATGTTGGCATGGTGAGCAAGTGATATTAATATCAAGGTGGAGATCGTTGGATTTGGTGCTATCCAAAATCACCCACATATGGAAATCCCATATTTTGTGAGATTGATTGATATTAATCTATATTTTGTGGGATTGAGATATTCCCATATTTTGTGGGTTTGATATTGATATTGATAAGGTTCTTAAAAGAAATATAAATCCAAAAAATATAGGAATATCTCAATCCCACAAAATATGGATTGATCTCAATCAATCCCACAAAATATGGGATTTCCATATGTGGGTGATTTTGGATAGCACCAAATCCAACAATTGTATATCTCAATTTCTTTTGCAATCTATCTCTTTTTAGTTCTGCTCTCTCACTCCCCCTTTTCCTTCTCTCTCAAGGGAGTTCAGCCTTCTCACATTTCTCTTATTCATCTTTTTGGAAAATTTCACCTCTTTCCTCTTCTTCATCATCATCTTTTTCAGAACTCACTTTGGCAATGTCAAGCTGTGGTTGCGTTAGTAACAGCATCAACAGATCATGCAATTTTTGTCCATGAAATTTTTTTTCTCATATTGCACATGGAATGCAATGTCAATCTTATTACTTATGACTTTGATCTACAATCTCTTGCTTGTCATGTGTTCTTGGATTGATCCATCTTTGTTATAAATATTTGCTGGTGCTCAAGGAAAATGGTCCAAGTAATAAATATTTAAAGGGAAATTATCAAAAATATATAGTTTTAGATTGTTAGAAATAAACCCCAAATTTTCAAAAACCTCATCCATGCCCTTTTTCTCCATTATTTTAATCTTTTAACAAAAATACCCTTTATGGTAGTCTTAGATTTGTGAAGGCACCATGGTCGACCTAGAATCGTGATGGAATTTTAAACATCGTAATGATTATTGGATTGCTAGAGCTTGTAGAGCATCACGGCCTGTTAAACACCGTTATGCGTCCCTCGACCATCACAGTGTTTTTAACATTGATGGTTATAAGCATATTCTTTAAAATCATCTCTGTAGAGTGTCGTGATGATTTTCTTTTACATCACGGCTGTTGAAATATCATGATGCTTCCCTTGACCATCACAGTTTTAAACACCGTGATGGTTATGAGCGTACCAGAACTTGAAAATAGTCATGGTCTGTAAAGTGTCGTGTTGTTTTTCTTATATATTCCATGTGAATTAACCTATCACTGAGCCACAGCCACGCCATTCTACAGACCGTGATGATTTTAAAGTTTCAGTATACTCATAACAATCACATTGTTTAAAATATCACAGTGGTCAAGGGAGATATCATAGTGTTTCAAAGGCCGTGACGTAGAAGGAAAGCATCATGGCATTTTACAGACTGTGATGATTTTAAAGTTTCAATACGCTCATAACCATCACAGTGGTTAAAATACCGTGATGGTCAAGGGAGGCATCACGGTGTTAAAAAGGTCGTGAGGCTTCTTCAATAACCCAATAATCATTACGGTGTTTTATTTGTTTACCATTAATTGTTGGGATGAAGGGGTGCCTATGAAAATTTTGGGGTGACATAAATTCCACAAACATGGTTTTTTGGTTCTTTCGGTTTTGGTACACACATACCACCACCAGGCAATGATTGTTCTTGCTGTTGAAAGAGGAGTTGCTCCTGTATATCATATTCAGGGGAATCAAAAGATTGATGAAGAGGGCAAAATGGCGATGCACCATGTGTTGTGTCTTGGCTCGTGCGAGCCTCACTGAGGCACGTGGGCATGCATGGTGCAAGGCCGTGGTCTAATAATGGGCTAATTCACATGAGATGTACAAGAAAAACATCACGACACTCTACAGACTGTGATGATTTTAAAGTTTCGGCACGTTCATAATGATCACAATGTTTATAATACTGTGGTGGTCAAGGGAGACATCATGGTGTTTCAAAGGTTGTGATGTACAAGGAAAATATCATGGAATTTTATAGACTGTGATGATTTTAAAGTTATAATATGCTCATAACCATCACAATATTTAAAATATCGTGATCGTCAAGAAAGGCATCACGGTGTTTAAAGGGCCGTGATGCTTCTCCAGTAACCCAATCATCATTACAGAATTTTACTTTTTGAGCAATAATTGTTGGGATGACGGGGGTGCCTATGCAAATTTTGGGGTGACACAAATTCCACAAACATGGTTTTTTAGAGCCTATGCAAATTTTGGGGGTGACACAAACGCCACAAACATGGTTTTTTAGAAGTGTAATTTCATAATGAACAGTGAGAAGAAATCACTCCACCATATATCTATATATATGTAGAGAGAGAGGTAGGGGGAGAGAGAGAGAGAGAGCCCCTTCAACACTCAACTTTACTTTGTAAAGAAATTCAATTGAACTCATTGCTTTCTATGAGGGATCATGATAACTTGTTTGGCACCTCATACAATAAATTACACCTTATGATAGAGGAATTAATTAATATTGTATTTTGTCACATTTGATTGAATTTATCATGTTTTCTGTTTGATTTTCACTATCCTTGTACATTCTGATTGTACTAATACAAATTGATACCGGGATGTTAGTTTATACAGTCTGAATTGCTTTCACTTTGGGTCAATGGAAATAATGTGGGCCATGTGTATGTTTGAGTTTCATTTGATTTGTTTTTCAAATGAGTAGTATTTGCCATTTGGGTCCTCTATATTTCTAACTTTGCAGCAGTATGATTTGTGTGGGCATGCGACATTGGCATCGGCCCATTTTCTCTTCACGTACGGGTTTGTTGACACCGAGATCATCAAATTCCACACAAAATCTGGGATTTTGACAGCCAAGAAGGCTAGAGATGGCGCAGGGTCTCCAGATATGATAGAACTTGACTTTCCAGTGGTTCCACTGTTAGAATGTGATGCAGAGGATGTGGAGAAGTTGAAGAGCGCACTTGGTGATGTAGAGATGGTGTGGTCCGGGAAGCCCATGTCAGGTGGTTATGTGGTAATTTCATGCACCCCTCTGCACAAAAGAGAGCTTTTCGTGTTCCATATGCTGAAGGCTTCTCCGCTTATAATATATTTGAGGGAATTTTATCCTGCATCCATTCTCGATTGTTTAAAAATTGCATTTTTTTTTTTTCTATTTGTCAAAGGTTGAGCTTTCTAGTAACGAGGAGGTGAAAAGGTTGCAGCCCCGCTTTGATAAAATGCTAGATTTTCATGGCAACGGAGGTCTTACTGTGACAGCTGCTGGAGGCCATGACAATAAACTTGATATGACATCCAGATTTTTCTGTCCTAAGGCTGGTGTTTTAGAGGTAATTGAAATTTTTAGTCTTGATTAATAGAAAAGAAGATGCCTTATTTTTTCAAGGATTGATTGAATCAACCTCTTTTTTGGTGATTGAGCCATGTGACTATGTTTTTTGGATGGAAATACTAGCTGGATGCATGATATAACAAAAGGTTTTCAATGAAGTTGAGATGAAATGTGTTGTATTTCAATTTCAGATAATAGAAGCAGAAGGTTGAACTTCAGAATGATTAAATTAGCAGTGATACCCAATGGCACTGATAAATTTTTCTGAATATTATTAGTTAATTGCATTTGATTGAAAGTTTCAAGATTGACCTTTATTATCTGGTGTATAGGTTTCAATGCTTCATCATATCCAAATCGCAAGCAAAATGCTAAAAAATTATTTGGATCATTGGTACTGCTGTTAGTAAAGCACAAACAAGAATGGCATGTGTGATTTTATAGTTGGTCTTTGCTATGTTTCTCAATGCTATATGTCACTATTGCAAGTGTTGGTTGATATTGTTTATCATATACTGCTCACTAGTATAATGGATTGTAGCTAGTCACTTACTCTGTTTTATTGTTGTCTCTCTGAATTTTGCTGGTATTTTTTTGTAGACTGCTGGAGTTATTATTCTCCAACTTGTCTATCGCTTCGAAGTCTTGCCAGTCTTTGGTTCCTAGGTAGTGGTAATGAATTATGTTGTAAAAGGTTAATGTGTTGTCTCTGATTTGCTTCCAGATTATGTGCCTTCTAGAATTATTATACCTGATCATGCATCTTGTCCTATAGCACATTTGGGGCATGCCATTTTCTTCCCAAGATGGTACATCTTGGGCATGTCATTTTCTTTCGAAGTTTTGACATACTTATTATCATATACATTTTTTAAACATTTAAAAAAGTTTCTGAAATCCTTTAAAATGAGTAGCAGAGTTTCTCCTCAACTTTGAAATTTCTTTGATGCGTATTTTAGCTAAGCATACTTTGCATGGGGAATAGGGCTATTTTCCGAAGTTTCTTATTAAAGCATTCTGAACTAGAGCAATTTTGGAACATGTTCTTAATCTCTTAAAGAATTTATAATTCTGTTGTTGGTTAAATAAGCTGGGGACAAACAATTATTTCAATAGTGTTCTCCCTCTATAAAAATCATTTATATACATTCCCTTGAAATACTAAATTTCTTCACATATCATCAGTGGTTATATTTTGGCATTAGATTCTTGCTTCATGTCTAAAAGTGAGAGTGTGTGTTTCTCATTTTCTCATGTGGAAAAAGACTGCCTAAAAGAATGCAGTCTAAGCATTTTTCTTTTAATTCCTCAAAAAAGGTAAGGGGAGAAAAAAAAGGGATAAAATTTGCATTCGAAATCTTTGAAAATTTGGGACTATCATTTAAAAAGTCATCTTAAAGTTCTTGAAGAGAATTGACTATTAGTGAGGACCTTTTTTTTTGTACATTTCACAATCAATAGTCTTGTTCATGTGTATGTTATGTATCGAGTGGACGAATATTGCATAACTATCATGTCTGTTGTTTTTGTTAGAATGCATCTATAATTTCTTCAATTCCAATCGACTAGGTGTATTGTGTTGATTCTTTGCAGTAATATATTTGGAAATGCCCAGTGATTCCTTCTTCGCATTAGCACCATTTCGAGTACAACTGGTACATTACAAAATAACTCTTACTCTAGCATCTTTACCTTTGCCCATGATCCTCCTTTGGATTTTGGATTCACTCAACTCATCTATTTTTGATTTGAAGAAAAAGAAAGAAATAAGTGGTTTATATAGTGTAAAGTCACTTGTTGCAATGTATAAGGAGAATTTGTCCATACTCAATATATAACATTGCATATGTTATCATCATCATCATTATCATTATCCAAGCCTTATCCTGACTATTTGGGATCGGCTACACAAATTATATTCTGCCATTCCACTCTATCAAGGTCCATACCCTCAATTTGACGATAAATCACCATATTTTTTCTCACTATTTCTATCCATATCCTTTGGGGTCTTTTGCTTGCCCTTTTAGAATGCTCCATTTGAACCAAATCACCCCCTCTAACCGGTGTTGTTCTAAGTTGATCAGCTGATGATCAAACCACCTAAATTTACTTTCCCTCATTTTATCTCCTATTGGAGCTACCATTAGGTTCCCTTGAATATATTCATGTAAAATTCTGTCCTTCCTTATTTTGTCACTCATTTATCCGAACATCCTCATCTTAGCTACACTCATTCTATGGATATATTTCTTGACCGCACTGCATTCCGTCCCATAAAGCATGATTGATCTTATAGCCATCCTATAAAACTTCCCCTTAAGTTTCATTGATATACAATGATCACATAAAACTCTAGGAGCACATCTCAATTTTGTCTACCTAGCTTTAATTCTATGAGCCACAATCTCTCCTTTCTCATGGGTTGTCGACATAAGATATTGAAAGTAAACTCTTTTAGATATTTTTTGGTCGTCAATATTAACTAATTCCTTGTTTATACTCCTATTATTATTAACTTTATTTTATAATCATATTATCCTAATTTTAAAACCTTTAGATCATAAAGCAGCCCTCCAAAATTCTAACTTCACATATATGTCGTCTCTAGTCTCCTTAATCAAAGCTGTCATCTGCAGACAAAATACACTACATGACCTCATCTTATAGTGGTTTAGTTAACTCGTCAATAACCAAAGCAAAAAGGTATGGGCTCAACATTGATCCCTGATGTAGGCCAGTTGTCATTGAAACTCACTTCTCTCCACTAGTTATCTTCATATTTGTTATTGCTTCCTTGTACATATACCTAACCATGTCAATTATATCCTCTTAAGACTCTTTTCTTTTTTCAGCACCCACTAAATTATATCTCTAGGTACCCTATTATATGATTTTTTCTAGATTAATAAAGACCACATGGAGATCTTTTCTCTTCTCCCTAGACTTCTCCATCAATTGCCTTCGTAGAAAAATAGCCTCAATGTTTAACCTCCTAGCATAAACCCAAACTGATTTTATGATACACTTGTTTTGTGTCTTAGTTGTTGCTCATTCAGTCTCTTCCACATTTTCATAGTGTGGCTCATAAGTTTGTCTCTCTTTTATTTTTGTAAGCAGGGACCGCAATATTTTTTCTCCATTCATCTAGTATTTTTTTTGTTCTCAAAATCTTGTTGAACAATGTTATAATATAAGAATTAAGGCAAAGCCCTAATGTATGTTTTCGTGGTAAAATAGTGTGTACTTCTTTTCCGAGTCAAACCGGTTAACCATAGTTACTCGGAACTGGCCCATAGCCGGTTGACTGTCCTCGTTCGAGCAGCAAGCTCTGATGATGATCTTTTTTTTATAAGGAAGGTCAACTTTATAATATCCAAAATAAAATCAGCACAACAACTGGCCCTCACAAGTTGTGTTTGCCGCTAATAGTTATTACAATATTATATCATTGGGGTCCAAAAGAGTGGTGCTAGGGGGAGGGTACTTGAGGTGGACTGCAGGTCTTTCTCAATGATAAAGAGAAGTACTATCCCAGTTCGAGGAGGTGAACACAGATGATGATCTTTTTCTTATGAAGGTCAACTTTATAATATCCAAAATAAAAGCAGAATGCACAAGTGGCCCTCAAAAGTTGTGTTTGCCACTAACAGTTATTACAATATTACATCATTGTGGTCCAAAAGAGTGGTGAAGGGGGGGAAGGGAGTGTACTTGTGGTGGGCCGCAGGTCGCTTGATAAAGAGAAGTGCTATCAGGTGAGGAGTGAAAAGTCTTGTACTCTTTCATTTGAATTTTCTAATTGTGGTTATTTTTCATTTATAGTTAGCAGACCCACTATAGGCTATACTACCAGTCCAAATTTCAGGTAAAAAATGCTGATCACCGTGTATTGAGAATGAGGCTAGTACCCTTTTGGATTGTTCATCAAAAGGTGGCAATCTATTGTTAATCTGAGTCAGTAATTCACAAAACTCTATCACAGAGCCAAACACCAAGACACAGCTGATGTCATTGCCACCAAAGTTTAGGGTAAAACTAATTTAGCGGGAAATGTTTTAAATAAAAGAGTCAATCCTAAATGGCAACTATGTATAATATAAAATATATCCAACAGGTAATGATTAAAAACTAGATGGATCAGGGCAATGGCAAGGAACAATACAAAATACATGCCCATGAGACAACAAAGAACGAGTTAAACATAAACAACCATTATGACAATGATGCACCCAGGGGTGAAATCTCTATAACAATCACTGCTTGCAAATCAGCATATGCCCAAGGGAAAATATCAATCATCAATTGAAGGATCAGACCATAACTACAATGATTCCAATTTTCTTCTTGTGAACTTTGTGTGGTTTGTACTTATAGGCTTTGGTTTGTAAAAGTCCCACATCATGCACCTTTAACAAATCTGTTTAAGCTCCAGCTTTTTGAATCATTTTTCTTCCACAGGATCCTGTTACTGGAAGCGCTCATTGTGCATTGGCACCGTATTGGGAGTCAAAGCTTCAGAAGAACATCCTGAATGCTTTCCAGGTACATAGAACTTACTATTCTGCATTTCTTCTGTGTTTTTCATATGACCCGATCACATTATTGAATAACATTTTGTCTACTGCCAGGCTTCAGAGCGTGGTGGGAATCTGTGTCTTGTTTATGACAAAGTTGAAAACCGGGTAAAGCTACTAGGGCACTCGGTGACAATAATGAAGGGGATACTTTTAGACCATGGTGCATATTGACTATCAGCATCTTACCCTTTTGATCAATTCAATAAAGAAGGCTAAGGCAGCGGATAGCTTGGTATATTGATAACTATGATGACCTGGTAAACATTATCTGTGTGCTACTTGGCAGCAATTATTTCAGTGTAAGGAATGGATGATTTGCTTTAAGGAATGATGATTTGCTTTTTCCAATAATGTGACAATAATATGAGACTTCATTTTTCAATGGATTCTTTTGATACATGTTACCTTGATTTAGCTACATTTGGCATTGGAATATTAGACACTAAGCTGGGACAGGTTCCTTAGGTAGATTATTGAAGTTGTCTAACTGGAGCCTAACTGGAGTTACCGTCCGGACTCAGTTTTATGACCTGCTCTATGAAAGCTCTAGAGATCAGTAATTTACACCACACATAACAGAGTTAATAGTTGCAGCCTTTTTCTAATGCTTGTATTGGGAGGATGCAAATGCTCCATAGGAAAAGATGATTTCAAAGCGCCAGATTACTTTTCCTAATTAATTCAGATTTATTGTGGGCGTGATATTATCTCTTCACAGTTGTCTAAAGAAACATATATTGTATCTCAATAAAATATCAAGGATACAGTGTTTGACTGGGTTTCTGTGATGGGTAAGCTTTCTATACTGGACATAAATTTATGTATTTCCCCCTATCCAACCATGCATTTCTAATGTATGTCTGAGAGGACCTAAATCACAATCTCATGCTTCTATACTATTTTATTTTTAAATTTTTTCTACGGAACATTTTGATACCAAATTTTGGGCATCTACTCATCTCTTAAACTCACACCTGGAGAAAAATATAGGAAAAATATTCTCAATAAAATGAAATGATCAAAATGCTCTTAAAACTTTAGGGGTATTTTGGTAATTTTATTTTCATTGAAAATATTTTTAAAATATTGTACTTAGGTGTGCCCCGATGACATGTACCCAATTTTATTTTCATATAATAGGTAGAAAAAATATTAAAAATAAACTACTCTGAAGTGTAAGATGTAGATCACACGGTCCTGATGTGCCTAATGAAACCTTTCCCTGATATGCCTCATGTGACTGAAGGAAATGATCCAAGCGAGTTGCTTAGCTTTTCGAATCTTCCTAAGTAGATATGTCTTTTTCTTTCTCAGCTCAAACATTGAATACTATTTTGGCAACAATTTCTTTCTCGGCTCAAACATGGAATACTATTTTGGCAACAAGAAGTATAGAAACCGCTATAAATTCAGTCGGTGATTGATGCTTTTAACTAAATGCATATGGTATTGTCTATCCAACTTATGTTTGTAATTTCAAGTTCTGTAAGAGGTGTATGCTTTTTATCTGCCAGTGAATTTCTTATGAATTGCAAATACTAGTCGATTAATATGCCATGCATGTATAAATATAAGGAGACAGAACAAAAATAATAATAAAATTCATAAAAAAACGATACATTTTATATTTAAAATGTTTATCTAAGAATGAAATCAAAATAAATCAAAACTAAAAATTAGAGAAATTTATTTTGCATTTAGTTCTTGAATTTCTTGCTGATACATCTAAGTTAGTAAATGGAGGGCTTGTTTCGTGATAAAACAGTGGTTTTATCATGTCGCATTGTTTCTCTAACCCAGTTTCCATATGCATTATGAGAACACTCGACCCTAAATGGTGCCCTAGTTTATTATTATTTTTATTTTTTTTACTTTATTAATGGAGGTTAGTTTGAGACTTGGAGTGGTTAATTGAAAAACGGATCGGTGTCCCGGATCGGGCACTTAAAAAATCCATCCGGATCGGTGACTCTGCGATCCGTATCAGGAATCGGTCGGATTAAGACTTAAAAAAATCTAAAAAAATTATCAAAATTCAATATAAATGTTTTTTTAAAGAATCCAATAAAAAATGAGGGTACTACATTATTAACTTTTATTTTGTTCATCAATATACGAATATTGAGATGTTCTTTTCCTGTATGAACTTATGTTAACTATTAAATTTACATCACAAAAAAAATAATAGAACTATCATGGATGGAGTATATAATTATACTGGACTATAATAAATAATGGATTAAATCGATGAAAAAATGACCACCAAAATCTTGAATTGGCGGAAAACCCTACTCCGCTAAAAAAAACCCAAATTATTACGACCTAACTATAGTATTATATACTAAAATTGAAATTGTTGGTTTATATTTTATAGTTTATTTTATTATACAAATAATAAAAAATCCAAAATATCTTATAATATAATTTAATTTAAAATGTATTATTGACAATTGGAAGTAAAAATAGTATATCACATAATTTATAATGCAAATAAATTAAAAAATAAAAAATAAAAGATTTAGTTATCAATGTAGAAATAAATTCTAAAGTGGTATGAGTTAGGGTTATTTTTCTCTCTTAAAATATCCTCTACACTAATTTTTCTAATATTCAATAAACTTGAATTAGTATTATTTTTGTTTTTTTAATATCCTATGAGCTAGTACTAATTTTTACTATAAGTTAACTACTTAATTAATTATTAAACATATAATAAAATAATCTCGTGATATAATAGCCTAATAGAATTTTTATGTTTATTTGGGTAGATAAATTTAGATTTTTTTGGTTGAAGATAGGGGTGATGAGCAGCCAATTATTATTATTTATAATTTTTTCATTTTTTTATCGTATAATGTAATTACCACCACCGAGTTGACTCATTGTTTTTTAAATCCCTAATT